GAAAAGACCCTGATGCTAGGAGGGATTGAAGGCAGGAGGAGAAGGGGACGACAGAGGATGAGATGGCTGGATGGCATCACTGACTCGATGGACATGAGTTTGGGCAGACTAAAGGAGCTGGTGATGGACAGGGAGGCCTGGCGTACTGCGATTCATGGGGTTGCAAAGAGTCGGACACAGCTGAGCGACTGAACTGAACTGGACTATACAGTCCATGAAACTGTCCAGGCCAGAACACTGGAGTGGGTTGCCATTTCCTTCTCCAGGGGATCTTCCCGACCCAGGGATCAAACCCAGGTCTCCTGCACTGCAGGCAGACTCTCTACCAGCCGGGCCACCAGGGGAGCCCCGTGTGTCAAAGCTCTTCCTAACCCCACCCCCCGGGCGGCTGCACTCAGCAGCTGGAAGGATGGCTCTGAGGCAGTCCCGCCAGAAGCTGTCCGGCCAGCTCCCTGGAGCCAGCCGCTGGTGCAGAGCTCGGCTTACTGTCTTCAGCAGCAGGGTGCCACCTGGAGGGGCAGCAGGGATCCTCGCCACCTACCCAGCCACCTGGCTGGTGCGACAAGGGAGACCGCCCATACCAGTCCTCCGAGGGCTGCCCCCACAGGCACTGTGACCTTCTGGGGTTGTCTGTGCCCAGGTTCCCTCTTGTCACCAGGTTCTGCTTTTAGCTGGGGATCTCAGAGGAGGTCACAGAACCCCAGAGTGATGAAAAGGACACCGGCCTAGGCCCAAAAGGACACCGGCCTAGGCCCTTGTGGGTGTTCATGCTGGTTCTGCCAGCATGGCCCTAGGTGGCCGTCAGAGGAGCATCTGTCCAATGGGGACAGTGGTTCCCAACCACCCTCACGGGACTTCCGGAGACAAGGGGCAAGGTGTGGAAGGGTGTGCCAGCCCTTCTCTCTGGCCCCTCTCCCCGCAGGCAGAGGAGGTCTCCAGGAGGCAGACTGGGGGGCCAGCAGGGTAGCAAAGGGAAGCCACACATTCAGACTCCTCTTCATCCACTCCCCCGCCCCCGATTTTTGCCTCTAGGCTAGCTGTCCTCCTTTCCACCTTCACACCAGGTGAAGAGGGGCTAACAGCTACCTTCAGAGAGAAGGTGCAGGGAAGAAATTAGTGCCTCATCCCTTGATATGTTTTCAGAGAAAACATTCCAGCAAAGCGTTCTCTAAGCAACAAGGGCCTGCGGGAGACCTTTCCCGGGGGCCCTCCTCCTCTCCAGGCCTCTCCTGAGACCTGGCCGGATGCTTAGCTGGCCTGAACGGGCCCTGCCAGTTAGGGAGGCCCCCAGGGCATCTTTCATCTGCCCGCCCGGCCCAGAAACGTTCCCCAGGAAGAGAGGATACAGTTCTCCACCCAGAATGGCTTTTTGGAGGGTGTGGATTCCCTTCCCAGATGGTCCCATACACGTGCAGATTGGGGGCAGGGGAAGCAGGGAGGGACTCAGTCATCAGAGCGGCAGAGCCTCCTGGGGAGGGCCTTCCTGCCACAGCCTCTGAGAAAGGCGAGACCACCGTTCTGTCTCCACGGCGAAGGCTGCTCCTGCAGGCTGCCGCTCGCCTTCCTTCTCAGGGGCGCCTGGAGTATCAGAGGCGCGGCGCGGCAGGCGCTTGTCACAGCGCTCGCCCACACCCTTCCTGCAGTGGGCGGCTAATTGCAACCTGATCACGCGGCACTCCGGAGCCCCGCGCCTGGCGCACCACTTCCTCCTGCCCATCCCCCTCCCCAGGGGGGAAGAAGCTTCCCGGCTCCGGGCACGGAGCCAAGGTTTTGCCGGCTGGTGAAAGGGGCTGAGAATGCGCAGTCCCTCCAGCCCCAGCCCAGCGCGGGGAGAGGGGCCACGGGGATGGCGGGGGTGCGGGCGGGCGGTGCAGAGACTGCCCCTAACAGCAGGGATGCCCAATCTCAGGATCTGAACTATCCTCTACGTACCTGTTTCCTCATCTGTTTAAAAAGAAAAAAAAAAAAAAACTAAGCAATCAAATTATGTCCTAACTCAGCGGTAAAAAAAAAAAAAAATCCGCCTGCAATGAAGATGCAGGATCATCCCTGGGTCAGGAGACCCCCTGAAAGAGAAAATGGCAACCCACTCCAGCATTCTTGCCTGGAGAAGCCCACAGACACAGGAGCCTGGGGGACTACAGTCCGCGGGGTCACGGGTTGCACACAACTGAGCAGGCATGCAATAGGTCCAGTAAAGACTCGGTGCCTCCTTCTGGCTTTCACCTTTCCCACCCTTTTAGAAACCTAGCATTTGTGTCCAGAGTTAAAAATTAGTGGGGTCAGAGGCCAGGGTCCTGCCAGAGCACGTCCACACTTGTGGAGCCCACATGAGAACAGGGACTGTCCCTGGTGTCCAGGGACTGTGATATCACCGTTACACGGAGGGGGAGTGACAGCAATGATTAGAGTATTATCTAAATAACTGTGATGATGACACTATCACACAGGCCCTGGTCAGCTCCAAGCTGGCTCATCTGAGAAAACGCTCTTTTGGGTAATGTTGGCTACAGAAACACGACCCAAGTTATGCTGAAGGCCCAGCCCAGCATGGGGCTGTGGCCACAGGCTGAGAAAGGCTTTTCTAACTTGGCACAGTGGTACCAAGCCAGCTGGAAAAGGCACCATTAGCCTGGGTTCCACTCTCATGAATAAACATCAAGATGATTTCTTTCTGACCCCCTGACACAGGAATCACTGTATCTAAGAGTGGATTCCAGCAGCACAAAACCAACAGGGCTCTCATACAGGGGTTCCTTGAAAAAGAGAAAATGGGAGGGGCGGGTCAGGGGACAGTTGTAGACTAGGTCCCTCTGAAGAGAGCATGTGGGTGGAACCACATATATGTAAAGATTTCAACCAACAGAATGCATCACTATGGAAACATTTGACTTTCTGAAAGAGATAGTTAAGAAAATAAAGCAATCAAGACTTCAGATTCAACCCTACAAGTGTTTATGACCAGAAAAGGCAAATGGGTCTCAGATATTCTGCAGCCAAGTAAAAGCTGCCAAAACTCAAGGAAGAAAAATTGCCAGTAGGGCAGGGACCCATCATGTGTCGGGGCTTTCTCTGAAGCCCTCCAACTAGAGCCTTCTGCTCACTGCAGGGCCCACGTAACTCTTCTGGAGTTGCCATGACATGGTCCAGGAGATGGTGCCACTTACTGGCCAGGCCTAGACAGGCCTGCCACTCACGGCCGGGGGGGGGGGGGGGGTAGGGGCATGTCATGCCAGCCATGGAGGTAGCAGGGAGGGTATCACAAGCAGGTTAATGAGCTGTGAGCCAGACTTAATAGGAATCATCAATGCCACATGAATTAGTGGTTTAGCCGACAACAACGTGGAACCTGATTTCAATACTGAGGACACAAGCTGATGGGAACTGTCAGACTGCTCCAAGGCCTGCTTGGAGGCCAGCTGCCTGTGGCCCACGTTTTCAGTGCCTAGCCTGCTCTGCTTCTCGGGCTGTCTGCTGACTGATCGGAGTCGTGGTGCTGGCCAGCATCATGAGGAAGCCTGATGCTGAATCCAAGCATTAGGGTCCCTAAATGACTCACAGGGAAGAATGAAGGGAAGAAGGGACCACCCGCCTAAGACAGAAAGGTTGCTTGGATATGGTCAGGAAACACGTTCTCAGTCACTTGCCAGGAAGGCTGAAGGAGAATTTGTCTAATTCATCATAAATTGGATTGTACTCCCCCACAATGAGCCTCCCCTGTTAAGCTGGACAATTCTAGTCCAGTTGGCAGCAGAGTTTCTGACTAGGAGATGCCAGTGTTGATTAAGGAGGTGCAGACATCTGCCCTGGTGCACAGAAAAGCCAGGGGACCAACAGGGTGGCCTGGCAGTCAGCCCAGCCAGCAGGGCACTGAGGTGAGCTTGGGCTGCCAGCCCTGCAGGAGCAAGCCCTGAGGCTCGGGGCCTGGGGGTGCCCACTAGACCATTCTGCCTAAATTCTGCATGCCCGAGGGAGCAGCACAGTTAGGGGACTAGCTTGTGCTTTATGTTCCGGTTCTGCCGTTCACAAATCCCGTGAGATGACTTCACCTCCTGGAGACTCAGCTGCCTCATCCCTACAATGGGAACAGCAGCTGGTTCTGGCAGGGCTTCAAGGAGGGTTAGGGATTATGTATAAGAAGCTCCCGTGTTAGTCGCTCAGTCGTGTCTGATTCTATGCGACCCCATGGACTGTATGTAGCCCACCATGGGACCTCCCAGGCAAGAATACTGGAGTGGGTTGCCATTTTCCTCCTTCAGGGGATCTTCCTGACCCAGGGATTGAACCAGGGCCTCCTGCATTGCAGGCAGATTCTTTCCTGTCTGAGCCGCCAGGGAAGCTCCTAGCATGGTTACTAAATTGTCCTAGCAGGTTATTAAAGTTCAAAAACAGGGCAGCTGAAAAACCAGACCTGTTTTTTCCTTCAAGCTACAGCTGCTTTATTTGCTCCCTCAACTTTAACAAGTAATGCTGGCAAAAAGAGCTGTGGCCTTAATTCCTAGTTAACATCTACAATCAGTAAAATGCAGCAACGGGCTGGTGCAGTCACTGAGCATGGGCACCGTCTGCCAGGGTCTGGCACTCCTGTGCCGTTCTGAGCCCTGTCCTTTTACTCTATGGCAACGACCTCCGTGACATTTCAGGAGGGACATTACCTTAGTAGTAGGAAGAGTGGCTGTTCTGCCATTGGACAGCCAGAAACACCACCTCAGGCTGCTGCTCTCAGATGAAGAAACCCAGGTGGTGGCCCAGGCAGCCAGGAATTTGTTTCCCTGACAGACACAGCCGCGATGAGGGAAGAGATCAAATCTGCAGCTGACGCAATGCACGGCCTGAATTGAGAGGGATGTGGTAACAAGACTTGGAGTCATCTCCTGGCTCTTTCACTTGTGGGAATGCAAGAGGAATGTCCCCAGGGTCACGCATCCAGCTCAGAGCCAAAGCTGGCTTGCACCTTCCTGGCCAGGTTGCGTGTGTCTGAACTGCAGGAAAGCTAGGAATTAAACAGGTTTTGTTTTATTGTTGTGGTAATTTGTATCTCTCTCACAGGAGGCTTACTGTGATGCTCAGATTTTATAAAGTATTTGGTGTGTCTTAGACAAAGGAGCTACACACATGCAACAACATTTAAGAGAAAGAGACTCTGGTTCAAGAAGTCATAGAGCTTGACAGAGAAGAACAGCACCTGGCCAGGCAAGGCATTCATCTGCCTTCTGGCCTTCTATCATGATCCTGGGGCTCATCAGTCTTACAGCATGGAATGGAAACAAGCCCAAAAAGCAAGAAGGCTGGGTAGATTTCCCCCCTGGGGCGCTAGGGAGACTCTAACTCCCTCACCCTACTTTCAGCCACGTTAATCCATCCTCTTTCTCTCTGGTTTCCTCTGTCTTGGTCTGGAACTGATCCGGCATGCTGCTCCGAAGTTGAGGGGTCAGGAAGACAGATGCTTTTATGATGCAACAAGGGGCAGCTGCTCTGTTTTGGGAACCTTGGTGACATCAGAGACGAACCCTTGAATCTTGGGAGCGTGTACAGAAGACAACACTGAGTCAGAAAAAAGCCTTAGTCACGGGGCTACTGAACTCTACAGGGACAGCACTGTTAAGGTAACTGAGTCTGTTCCCTGCAGGACGGCTCCCACTCCTATCTGGCTTGGGTTTAAGTGACTCAAGTAATTCTCCAGGGGGGAACTAATCTATGTGGAACAGCTGCCACTAGCAGGGCATTTGCCGCTCTTCAGCTGAAATTTCTCATGACATCACTCCATTTCTCCTCCCTTTGAGGGGACAGTTTCCTCTTGTATTACAAGCAGTCCAGGGGGCGGCTTGGAGATACACTGGAGAATACCACCTCTGCTCTTCACTCAGAGGCCTGAAACCTGTCTGCGTGTCTCCCAGGGAGATGGACAGGCAAGGAGACTCGGTTAAATAAAGCACTCCCAGAGTATGCAGATTTCCATTACCACAGCACATAAGCCAAGATGTTCAGGAGTCGAGGCAGACTTCAACAAAGCTCTGTTGGGTTGCAGCAGCTGTCTGCCTGTGGAAGGCTCCCGAGTCACTGATGTGTATTACTATCTCCACTTTGCTACAGGCACAAGGAACAAAGATGTGGATTTACCCTCCCCTGGAGGCAAAGTCCATTCATATTTCTTCAACCGAAACCGGAGAGGGCAGGCAGGGGAAACGGCTTATGGGCAAAATCATTGGTAAACACAGCCACAGCGGTTTTTAATTTGCCTAAAGAAAATATGTGATTTCAAAATGTGATTAGGGATTACTGTTCCCACAGTAAACGTATTTTGAACACAAACTGCAGGCTGTCATTTAATAGGACTCCGAGCTGGGAAGCAAATCCCATCCTCATCCTCCAAACAGCCACGAGAGCAGCTGGACCAGCCTCTGGAAGTGTCTTCATGGAGGAAGGTTTGCTCAGTCTCAGCATGGCTCCTCTCTCCAGGATCTCACATCACCAGTGCGCCCCTCGAGGGTCAGGATAAACTGTCCGAAAGGTCAAGTTTATTCTTGGTTCTCTGGAGTGGTACTCTTTGGGCACTCGATGCTAAATGGAAATATGAATAACTCTGACATAAACACACACTTTTAATCCAAAGCCATTTAAAACTTCTTTATGAGGACACAGACATATTTCAATTTTATCTCCCTTCAGTGAGCAGTAATAGCTCTTCAAAGTCTTGTGGAGAAAGGTCTTCTTCTCCGACACAAATCCCCACCCCCACCCTCACGGGGAGATATTTTCCTTTTCTTCTAAGTGCTGCTCTTCCTCGTGGCCTCCTGCCATTTTCCCAAAGCTCCTAAGACCACACACAAATGGCTGGGACCACAGAGAGGCACCAGATGCGCTGCTCATGCTAAGTGCTCTTCCATTAGTTTGCACACCCTAAAAATGGCCCGGCCGAGGCTATGGAGCCGTGCAGCCCCATGCGAGAGCCCCTGGCTGCCTGAAGCTCTAGCTTAATTCAAAGTGCAGTTCTTCAGCACTCCAGACATACCTCAAGGGATCACGAGTCACGTGTCTAGCGGCGAGAGCACTGGGCCGCAGAGACACAGAACACGCCCCTCATCACAGGAAGGCCCACTGGACGGCGCTGCTCGAGGGGGCCATTCTGTCAGCAGTGTCAAACTCCTCGGAAATGGGGTCAGTTTACTGCCTCGTGCTCACTGTAATGCAACTTGCTTTTCACCACGTTTAATACAGAAATTAATCATCGTGAGCCAGTCGGGAAACTGCCTCCACACGACAGCGAGTCCGTGTCACTCGCACGTTCTCACCTGCCAGTCCGCTTGCGTGGCCCCTTCCATGATTAACAGGGTCCCGTGATCCAAGGGTATCTTCACTCTGTCCACATACGTGTAGTCTCCATTGTCTTCCTAGAAAACAGCATTCACGGGACTGAATTTTTTTTTTTTTTTGGGGGGGGGCTTGTGTGATTAAGATGCAACAGAACGCGACACTGGTCAGAGAAATGGCAACTTCAGCTCAGCCAGATGGCAAGGCCTCGTTTACTGGCTCTGTCACCTGGCAGCTGGATGGCCTTGGGCAGGTGATTTCACCTCTCTGTTCCTGAATTTACTCATCTGTAAAACGAAGATGATGGTATTACCTGGCTCACAGTGCTGCTGTGAGCCTCAGCTGATCCATGTGTGAGTCACCTGGAGCCCAGCAAGTATTAGGTACAGTGTACTAGCTATTAGCATTCATATTATCAGCATCCAAACTGCAGAAAAGTACATTCTGGCCCATGAAGGAATTCAAAGTCATTTATACAATAATTCTTTACATCTGCCTTATTCTGCGCCCTGTGTTTTGACATAGTTTTAGGAGAACAGGCTTTCAAACAAGATGTGGTGTGATGAGCTTTGACCACCTTTCACAGTTTATGCTAATTCATTAATTAATATCTATGTTAAAACTGATCACAACTCTCCCTATAGCTACTTTGATATTTTGGAGACACATCCTCGTTTCTTTCCAGAACAATCAACAGCCAGACTTTCTCACAGAAGGGGACTCTGTCGTGACCAGAGCAGCACGGCTAAACTGCACCTGGCTGTGCGCCTCTGAGGACAGAGGGCAACGCGTGAGCACCTAGAATGCACATGCTCATCTTTACACTGCCCCTTTCTTCCAGAGCTCCAAGTCGACGCGCGGGCAATGTCATAACGATATGGCTCACAGGGGGTTGTCCCTCCTCCACTGCTGACAAAGGGCACGTTAAACAACTTTCTTACTCACAGCAAGAGAGAGCACATGGAGAACTGGGACTGGGACAGACCCAAGTGTCCTGACTTCTTCACTCCGTTCTGAGCAGACCCACCCATTCATCTGATTCACTTCCAGTGCAAGAGATTTACATTTAAATTACTGCAGGACTGATTTCACTGCAGTGCTGTGTTTATGTTTATTACTGCAGAGGTGCTTCTGAGAATGTAACTGTTTACAATGCTTTCCCCCAGGAAAATCAAAACCAAAACAATAATGGACTTTTATAAACAGTCTAGATTCCAGGCCCAACCCTTGGCAGTGACTTTGTCGAGCACTGTCATAACTTTCATAAGCAGAAGACACAAGCGATGTTTGAAATAACTTTCAGTCTCAGTGACTGATTTTGTGTCTGCCACCTTCTGCTTTCCAGTAGCAAGCACCAAAACATTTACCTCTGACCCCTCAGCCAACCACAGAGCACTGGGAAGGTGACCTTGTCTGCAGGTGGCCCAGCTCCATCTCAGAAAAGCAAAAGGGTGCTCTCTGAAAAAAGGATCTCATATAGAGGAGATGTACATCCTACTGAAGAAAAGATATCAGAAGGTAGTGCACTGCTCATGAGATCAGAGGGTCCAAGGCTCCTTGATTTAGGCTGTAAAGTTAGTCACCAGATCAAGGTTCAACACAGCTACAGACAGAACTGCTGCTGCCCTCTGCATAACCCAGAAGTACAACGGGGCTTTAATCTATAAATCGAGCCCTGGGACAGAAGAGTGCAGCAGACAGTAAAGACACTTAACACAACAGGAAGACAAGCCTGAGATGATGATCTCTTAGAACATTAAAGCATTATTGAGATAACACTGTACATCAACTATACTTCAATTAAAAAAAAAAAAAAACTAAGAAAGAGAAGCATGTCCTAGGAAGAAGGAGTTGTATATCCAACAGCCAGAGGCCAAGAAGTCAAGGCCCATACCGCATACATAGGTCTGTGAGACCAGAGGGCAGGTGTAAGGAGTGATTTGGAGAAGTTAGGAGAGTTAAGAGCCAGCACTTTCTAATCCAGGGTTGCTCTGTCAGAGCCACTGTAATAAAATGCAAATCTGATCTCAGAATACCCCTCCCTTGCTTAAAACACATTAATGACATCCCAAAGGTTTCAGGATGGAGTTCAAATCCATTAGCCTGGCACCCAAGGCCCTTGATGACCTGCCTGCTTCCTTCTCTTTAACTTCGTCTCCTACATCCCTTTCACGGGCACCCTGTCCTCCAAATAAATGGAACTCCTTAACAGTTTTCCAAACATGAAAAAAACAGGTCATTATTGGGGAGGAGGAGGTGCTAAGGCCAGCGGAACAGAAGAGGTGAGCACTGTAACTCTATCTGGAAACATGAAGCAGGGAAAGAGGATTCCAAACCCAGGAGGGATCTATCAGCATGGATGGAATGTGATGCTCAGCAGGGCCACGTCTCCCTCTCCATTTTTAAGATCTGAGTTCTTCAAATGAGAGAAAGCCTCAGGGTGGTTTGAAACACACCACATCCAGTATAACCCTTAGTTGTACCAAAGAGCAAAAGAGGGCGAGCCTTTTCTTAGCAGGGAGCTACCTTGATCCGTCCCCGAAGGAGACGGTGATACCAGCACATCCACAGGAGAGATGATGCCATTACTCTGCTGCTCGTCATTCGTTCCTTCAAACACCCTTGGCTCAGCCAAGTGCATTCCTCATTTCCTTCTCCAGGAAGGAACTTCCCGACCCGGGGATAGAACCCAGGCCTCCTGCACTACAGGAGGGTTCTTTACTGACTAAGCCATCAGGGAAGCCCCCCATAATCCACAGAAGGAGACAGACAGGAAAGAGGACAGGGGATTCTACCAAAGCAGCACAGATGCTTCCTTCTCCTGAGACCGGGGCAGCAACAGGCCACACAGCCAACCCTTCAATGCAACCAAGGTTCACAGAGACTTTATCCACCGAGGAAGCAGATAAAGGCCTAGAGGAGCTCACGTGGCTGAGCATAAGAGCTCAGTTGATAAATGGATAAGCGACAGTGGAAGCATGGGTCTGACTGTTTAGAGGAGCGAGCTCACGGCTCTTAAGCATGGTTGTTACCCAAACATGGCTCTGAAACCCTTCTGATTTACTCAGGTCTTTCTACAAAACAAAACAAAACACATCCCCTAAAAAGCCATGGCTTAGGATAAAATTTTCCATTCCTGATCCCGGTTCAAAGAAACTTGTAGGGCCAGAGTCAGTCTTCAGGGTGGGTTTTGCTACTGACATTCTTGGTTTCCCACACACTTGAAACCTCACAAGTAGATGGAAAAAGCAAAAAAAAAACACCATTTTTTTTTTACATTGTTAATCAACATTCTCACTCCCTCCTCAACCATAGTCAATTCATTTGAATGCTTAATTATACTTTTCAATGAATGTTGAGATTTTCCCAAAGTTTCACAACTCTTACCGAGATCTGAATCTATTCAGTTTCCCTTAGAAAAATGCTATTTAGCAGGGGGGGGTGGGGGTGGGGAGCCTGGATGTATTTATTGTCATATCATTACACACCACCCAACAGATAAGAAATCTAAACATTCTTCGTCCCCTTGGAAAGGAAAACTTCACACTGTATGAGATCAATGTAGATCTTTCATGTAATTGTGCCTTTCTTGTCCTAAAAAGGTGTCTTAGAAATTACAAATATCAATGCTTAAAAATCGTCATTGGCATAGTTTTTCCCTACTATAAAAGTAACATACGTTCACTAGAGTAAATGACACATACCTATTCAATGTCTGCCTCTTTGATCTCTGATAAACTCCATGAGGGGAAGACGATGCTGTCTTTCCCTTTTGAAATATGCTCAATGCATATCTCATATATCAGTAACTATGTCCTGAACAACTGAAGAAAAGCACCAAGAAGATATAAAAATCACCTTTAATCCCATCGTCCAGAATTCCTACAACACAATCACAGGGAATATTGTATACATGCAACTGTGCACTCATTGTTAACACTGTCCTGTGAGCAGTTCCTACATCTTAGATGTACAGTCTTTCTTAAAAATGGTTACACAATACTCCTTTGCATGAACATATCCTTCCTCCTTTAAACTCATAAATTATTTTTTGACCACTTGGATATGTCAGGCATTGTGCTGAGGATACAGCAGTGAGGTATGCATGGTTAGAAATAGATTTTAATATACCAGTAATACTTAAAAAAAAAGAAAAAGCTACTCCAAGTAGATTTTGGGCAAAACATCTGAGTGTATTTCTAGGCTATATTCTTTTTTTTTGGCCATGCTGTGCGGCATATGGGTCCTTAGTTTCCAGACCAGGGACCGAATTCATGCGCCCTACATTGGGACCGCAGAATCTTAACCACTGGAAGTCCCTAGGATAAATCCTTTAAAATGGAAAAACTGGATCTAAGGGTATGAACTTAAAGGCACTTTATTTATAGTATCAAGCTGCTTTAAGCAGATTGTGGCAATTTATACTTCCATCAGGAAAACATGACAGTCCCTGCCTTCTGAGCACATCATCAACATGGAACATTATCAATTAACAATGATGAGAAAAGTTTAGGGAGAAACGGCAGCTCATTCTCAAACATAAAGTTCTTTAATTACTTTAAATGGTGAACCAAGTTCACCGTTTTCTCATATGCTTATCTGCTGTTTGCATTTCTTCTATTGCAAACTCCTTCATGTCTTTTGTCCATTTTCCTATGGGATGTTAACGTTTTTCTTATTGATCTGCAACCATATATAGTAAGATATTTCCCCTTTGTTATATTTTCTGTAAATATTTTTCTCAGTTGCTATTTGACTTTTAACTGTGTTTATGATGTTTAACACAGAATGGCTCAAAAATTTTTACAATCAACTCTGCTGATCTTTCTTTGATTCCCCTTCATGGTTTTTATGCTTAGAAAGTCTTTTTCCCATTTTCAGGAACCCTAAATATACAACTGCATTTCCTTTCAGCTAAAAAAAAAAAAAAATCTGTATTTTTCAGATTTAACTCTTTAATCCACCTGGAGTTGGCTCCCCACTCCCCTGGGTCCAAGTGTTTTTTCCTAACAATTTCCAGGTACTTAAACCAAGTCATCCTGCTAGACTTTCTGGACACCATCAACCATGGTGTAAGCTG